ACCCATGGGAAATGCCATATGAACGAGGTCATTCATTACAGCATGGTGAGCTATTCTGAATAATTGGGAGTAACCTAAGAGCCACAGATAGAGCATTGGTTAACTGCATCTTGGACTATTCATACCATGGACACCAGATCAAAGAAATGCTTGATGTATGAACAGGGAAAAGACCCCTGACATGGTTTTTGTTTGTTTGTTTAAGAGACAGGGTCTCTGGCCAGGCATGGTGGCTCACGTCTGTAATTCCCGCACTTTGGGAAGTCAAGGCGGGTGGATCACTTGAGGTCAGTAGTTCAAAGACAGTCTGGCCAACGTGGTGAAAACCCATCTCTACTAAAAATACAAAAAATTAGCCGGGCGTGGTGGCATGTGCCTGTAATCCCAGTTACTCAGGAGGCTGAGGCAGGAGAATCCCTTGAACCCAGGAGGCGGAGGTTGTAATGAGTCGAGATGGTGCCTCTGTACTCCAGCCTGGGTGACAGAATGAGATCCTGTCTCTTTCAGCTTGGGTGACAGAGTAGGACTCTGACTCCACAAACAAAGAGACAGGGTCTCGTTCTGTCACCCAGGCTGGAGAACAGTGGGTGATCCTGGCTCACTGCAGGCAGTCTTTCCACCTTAGCTAGGACTACAGGCCCATGCCACTGTGCCAGCTAATTTTCTTCACTTATTTGTATTTTTTCATTTATTTGTAGACACAGGTTCTTGCTATGTAGCCCAGGCTGGTCTCAAACTCCTGGCCTCAGGTGATTCTTCTGCCCTGAGCTCCCAAAGTGCTGGGATTACAGGTGTGAGCTACCACACCCAGACCCTGACATGTACTGTTGTGAAAACTGCTAAGCAAAGAACAGTTATAGGAGGCTATCATGTGTATAAAAAGAGAGGGGATATGAATGCATACTTACAAGTTTGCTTGTGTACACATGAAGAAACTCCTGGATACACAGGAAACTGATTAGCAGAGATTATGGTGGGGGAGTGGTTGGTAGAGAACTTGGAAGATAAGAAGGGCTTCTTATACTTTATTTTTAAACCATGTGACTGTGTTACCTATTTAAAGTGTTAAATGAATTGAATTTAACCCCATGGGAAGAGTTAACCCAGTAACTACAATTTCCATCAAAGGGTGAAAGTCTAATAGTCATTCACTCATTCAATAACCTATAGCAGGCCAGGCACAGTGGCTCACGCCTGTAATCCCTGCACTTTGGGAGGCCAAGGCAGGTGGATCACCTGAGGTCAGGAGTTCGAGCCCAGCCTGGTCAGCATGATGAAACCCCGTGTCTACTAAAAATACAAAAAATTAGCTGGGCGTGATGGCACGCGCCTGTAATCCCAGCTACTCAGGAGACTGAGGCGGGAGAATCGCGGGAGAACTGCAGCCTGGGCAACAAGAGCAAAACTCCATCTCAAAAAATAAAAAGAAAAATAAAATAATCTACAGCAATCAGGAAACATCTCTAGCAATGATACCTAACAAGTGCTCAGCACTTTAAATGTGCCAGGCATTGTGCTAAGTGTTTTCATTTACATTATTTCATTTAACCCTCACCAGTCCCATAGAGTTCAGGTGTCTAATATCACAGAAGAGACAGAAGTTCACAGAAGGATGAGAGAGGTTGTTCTTTTTTTTTTTTTTTTTTTTTTTGAAACGGAGTCTCGCTGTGTCACCCAGGCTTAAGTGTAGAGGTGCTGGCTGGGCGCGGTGGCTCAAGCCTGTAATCCCGGCACTTTGGGAGGCCGAGACGGGCGGATCACGGGGTCAGGAGATTGAGACCATCCTGGCTAACACGGTGAAACCCCGTCTCTACTGAAAAAATACAAAAAATTAGCCAGGTGTGGTGGCAGGCGCCTGTAGTCCTAGCTACTCTGAAGGCTGAGCCAGGAGAATGGCGTGAACCTGGGAGGCGGAGCTTGCAGTGAGCCGAGATCGCACCACTGCACTCCAGCCTGGGTGACAGAACGAGACTCCTTCTCAAAAAAAAAAAAAAAAAAAAAAAAAAGTGTAGTGGTGCTATCTCAGCTCACCGCAACCTCCGCCTCCCAGGTTCACGCCATTCTCCTGCCTCAGCCTCCTGCGTAGCCGGGACTACAGGCGCCCGCCACCACGCCTGGCTAATTTTTTGTATTTTTAGTAGAGACGGGGTTTCATCGTGTTAGCCAGGATGGTCTTGATCTCCTGACCTTGTGATCCGCCCGCCTCGACCTCCCAAAGTGCTGGGATTAGAGGTGTGAGCCACCATGCCTGGCTGAGAGGTTGTTCTTTCCCAAAGTTCTCTGCAAACATTCAGGCGCCACCATCCTGGGCCAGGCCTGAGAATGGCCACTGCACTAGGGATACCAAGAGAAAGACAGCACCCTGCCCTCTAGGACCTAATGGTCTAGTGAGGGAGACTGACATGTAAAATAGCAGACTCATAGACAGGTTTCGAATAGAGAAGGGAGTGTTAGAGCATAGTGCTTGAGGATTAGGGGACAAAGGGAACAGAGAGACTGGGGACAAGCAAACCTCTCTCTCCCACGACACCCTTTGGCCAAGGACAGGCCTCACAAGCAGCTGTGGAACTTGGAGGCGCCATGTGGGAGACAAACCCTGCAGCCTCAAGGCCAACAATGAACAAAGGCTGCCGGGCTGTCTGGCAGGAGAGGAGATCTGACAACGGCCTGGCCCGCCGTTCGATCAGTGTAGACATTCCTTCTGGACTTTGAAGCCTGAAGAGCTCTCCTTTAGCTGTCTACACAGATCAAATAAGCTGGATGACTGCCATATCTCCACTTCGTTGTGTGGCTCCATAGTCACAGCCAGCTCCATAACAATCCAACCAAACCATCTGAGCAGAGGCAAAAATAATTCTCATGGGTAAAGATAGACAGTTCCAAGATGTGAACATTAACTCCTTGCTGCCACTTCAGAAGAGAGTGGATCTTGAAGTTCGTTTTAGGAAGCTTTCGAGAAGGGCGATTCTGCCCCTCTCCAAAGTGAAGTGGCAAAGCTGTTGTCTCTCCTTACAGCTGAAAGCCCTTCCTATTCCAAGGCTTATATAGGATACCCACAGAAGCTGACAATGAGCTGTGATCTGGCTCTCGGAAAGGCAGCCCCACCCTAAAGGACAGGGATCAGGTCGGGTGCGGTGGCTCATGCCTGTAATCCCAGCACTTTGGGAGGCTGAGACAAGAGGATCTCTTGATCCCAGGAGTTCGAGGTCAACCTGGGCAACATAGTGAGACCCTGTCTCAATTTTTTAAAGTAAAATAATAATAATAATAATAAAAGGACAGGAATCATCCCACCTCAAAAGCACCTTTTTATTCACAGGCTCATTCTAGGGGAAACTTTAACCCAGCCCTCTCAGTCCTCAAGCAGCTGTGAGGAGCTCGGGACATTGTCACAGACTGGCCGAACCAGGCATCTCCCAACAAACCCAGAAGCCAAGTGGCATTGCTAAAAAAGATTAAAAATCGACATGAGTTCTAACATCTACGTTCCTTGCTATGGTTTCCATGGAAATAGACATCTGCTCTAGGGAGAAAGAAAAGGTGGGGGAAAGCAGTGTAAGTGCTTTAAAATAATCAGTGTTTTGAAAGATTTATTTCCTTTTTCTGTCACAACATTAATAGTTAGGAATGTGAGATTTTTGTGTGGCAATTTATTGTACTTAAAAAAATGCATTAAATGAGTGGGACTTTCCTCCGTGAACCTCCAGATCAAATACAAAGGCTTCAAGATAAAAAGCCTGTTCAGTGGGTAAGGACCTCTTGGGCTTGGGTTCCTTGCTCATTTGTGTTGCCTGCCTATCTGTCGCTTTCCTGAGGGGTCTCATCCCCATCCCTCTCCAACTTTTCTAATGATTTCTGAGACTCTGTTCAGAAAAATGACAGATGGAAGCACCTAGCCATTTTGAAGCCAAATTTGGTCTGAGAAGCCTTTCAATGCTCAGAATCTGAATTATTCCTGGTCCTGCTCACAGGCTAAGTGAAAACCACTTAGATTGGCTTCGGGGGGAGGCCGACCCCACACAAGGGCGATTGTTGGAAAAAGTGCCGCAACAAGCATATTTCAGGCAACAGCGCATTGCTAATTGTTTGCTTTGTGTAGTGTGCTGCTGCTCGTATGATCCAGTTTTTATTGTCTCGGGCACCTCTTAGTTGTATTTTTTCTCTGGCACATGCCTAGTGGCTAACTAGGCACGAGAGTCTTTCTAAATTAGAACGGCTGTTTCAGGAAGGTTGGTCACATTTATTTCTTGATTTGGGGAGATGCAGCCCATTAATAAAATAAAGATACCTCTTCTGTTTAGTCAAGATCTCAAAGCAGGTGCCTTGGTGTATTGACCACCAACGGAGGACACAGTCTTGGTCAGAGAATGGGAGGAGGCGGGGACCATGTACATTTCATTTATTTTTTTCCCTCTTCTTGTGGGAGAAAGGGCCAGTTATTCTAAGCCTCGGTCAGACCAATTTCCTTTGTGCCTCTGCTGAGGTTCTGAGCTATCCAGGTCAGGGGGAACAGCGACCTTGTGGCTCCTTTTTTGATTTTTAAAAGGAACCCAGTGCTGCTCTGGGGAGCACGTGCTCTGAGAACAAAAGCAACACTTAACTGCAATCTGTGTAGTCTAGAACGACTATTGCTCTTCCTCCCCTATCATCCGCGGAAGGCTTGGCAGAACAGATGGAGTCTGCATTTAAGCTGAGTGGCTTTGTTAGACCAAAGGCGATCAAATTCCAGAGCCTCACGCTTTCCCGCACAGGTCCCTGGTCACCGGCTCGGGAACCTGAGGATGCTGGCAAGAACGCACACAGCGAGGGAAGGGACACGCCCGCGACCTGTGGGCTGAGTGGATTAGAAATTACGATGATGTCACAATGTGGGTGACACGCCGGTCTCGGTGTAGGGCGCCGGGGGCAGGGGGCCCCGCAAGGGCGTGGAGTGGCATTGTGTTGTCACAGGGGCTCGGGCGTCTTAGGTACCCATGTGGGTGGGGCACTAGAAGGGGCACTGCTCTGAGTGCTGCCCTTGGGGCGAGGCGGGCACGTGGCTCTTACAAGGCGGGGTCCAGGCGGCCAAAGTCTGGAAAGGTAGGGAAGGACCCCACCACCACGCCTGCTCCGCCCTGCCCTTGTTCTCGAGAAGGGGGAGCTGGTTCGGACCTAGTCCGGGGTCCACTGCCACTACCTCTTCCACGGCGAGACCACCCCCGCAGCCCCAGGCCCACACCTGGGGATGCTCCCCATGCGTCCCGCAACCCCCCGCATTGTCCTCCTGCCCTGCTGGCCAGGACTACACTTCCCGGGGTGCTTCGGGGTCCCGGGGGGCGGGGCTC